TGTTGGAGCCCCCACAGCTTCTGGAGGCAGGTTGTTCCACTGATTAATTGTTCTAACTGTCAGGAAATTTCTCCTTAGCTCTAGGTTGCTTCTCTCTTTGATTATTTTCCATCCATTACTTCTTATCCTTATAATCTGTTCATACAAGGATTTTTTTTAGTACATTTATCAAGCAGCTCAGCCTAAAAGAGAAAAGAATACTTTTCTTGTATCACCTTTTCTAAGTAACCATACTTTGCATTGATAATTAGAGCTTAGTATTCTGGGAAAGCCAGCCCTGCAAGTCTTATTTTCATATACAATAAACAGGAACAACATTAAACAGGTTTAGAAACTTGCTGTGCAGCAGTATCTAATTTGTAAGGAAGGAGTGGGGGAGAGTCACCTCTTCCTTCCAAAGTTCAATTTCACTAATTCATATTTTGCTAATTTTACTTTATGCAAAATCATAAATGACACTGTCAACAACTACTCATAATTAGAGCAAGAATGTTTTTGCTCCCAAGACTCTCATTCACTCGGACTCTAAGTGGCCATCTCTAGTAACAAGAATGTTGTTCAGATTCCATGCTCAAATGGAATCATCTTCTTGGCTGTGATTATTGGTCTATGTGCCAATTATAAATCAAGCTTACTTGCTGCACTTGCATATAAAATGCTTACAGGGTAGCTCTTGAGTTCTTGCACTGCGACGGTAAAACTGTAAAAAAAAATCTAAAAACAGAAACCCATAAAGTTATATTGGTGCTGGTGCTGACTTCAGGATCAGAATACCGGGTCACAATCCTAATCTCATACAGGTAGACCTTGATTTACAACAGTTCATTATAATATACACAATGATACACAATCATATAAGTAGTCCTCGATTTATAACAGTTCTTTTAGTAAATGTTCAAAGTTACCATGGCACTGAAAATGTGACTTATGACCGTTTTTCACAGTTATGACTTTTGCATCATTCCCATGATCATGTGATCAAAATTCAGATGCTTGGCAACTGCTTCATATTTATGACCATTGCTGTGTCCCAGAGTCATGTGATCACCTTTTGCAAACTTTTGTCAAGCAAAGTCAATGGGGAAGCCAGATTCACTTAACAACTGCATTACTAACTTATCAACTGCAGTGATTCACTTAACAACTTTGTCAAGAAAGGTCGTAAAGTGGGGCACAATTCACTTAACAAATGTCTCACTTAACAACAGAAATTTATGGCTCAATTGTGGTTGTAAGTTGAGGACTACCTGTATTTGAACTATTAATCTATTTTCTGCCCTAATAAACATATTTAGGATTTAGTCATCAAGGACTATGTCACATACTGGAGTCCAGGGCACCTCTGGTTCATTAATGCACGGCATAACAAGGCTTCCAATTAATGTATTATCCATCACTGTCTGCAGCAGCCTTTCTCAACCTTTTAACCTGGAGGAACCCCTGAAATAATTTTCAGGTCTCAGGGAACGTTTGCATAAAAATTTACACACGCACACACACACACACACACACACACACATTGTAAATATTGTGTAGGTTAGAAGGGAGTTGTATTATAACCTACACACGTGTGTGTGTGTGTGTGTGTGTTATAATACAACTCCCTTCTAACCTACACAATACTTACAATATTTACAACAACAGCAAATTTGCAAACCAGCTGTTGTATCAGGGCATGTAAAAATTTCCATTCCTGAGAGGTGTTAGCATCATCTGGCACACAAAGTTCAAAAAATTGAGGAGACCCAATTGAGAAAAGCTAGTCTATAAAAACATGCTGAAATCTAAATGCAGAGACCAATCAAATGTGAGAAGAACATACCATCAATCCTACAGCAAGGATTCTCCCAGTGACAAAATGTTTGAGGTGAGTCCAAAGATGATCAATATAAGAAGAGACATCTCTCTGAGGGGTTTCAAAAGAACTGAATGTTTAAATGCCTGGGTGTAACTTAGAATGGCAGACAATACAAATAACTAGACAAATAATGAGCAGCAATCCACAATTCAGAGCCAGGATAATATCAGACACCTTTTTTTAATTAGCCCAACATGAGCTGAATACAGTATACTGAAGATCTGATAAAGCAAACAGAGCAGTCACAACTGAAATTACAGATTGGTATGACAGTATTACACACTCACTCCTCCCTAAATATTGACATGCCTCATGTTGAGCAAGCACCACAACTGCATTGCTCACTGAGTAAACTTTTTTCCATTAAAGACAACAGCAGACATGGAAGGAAAAAAGTAAGAGTTTACATATTAAAAAAAAGAATTTCAAATTTGTAAAAAAAAAGAGTAGAATTTAAACAAAATGAACCAAACCCCATTTTTTTGACAGATTCCATTTTATTGTGGTGGTTTTGAGATTTAAAACAGAAACCCCTAATCAAGCTTTAGACTTGTTTTTTTTTCATAAAAAGATAGGGTGAACGGTTCTTTTTGAAGTAACTAGTACCTGCTGTACATTGATTTAAAATCAAACCTTTATTCAGGTGTCTGGAATAAACAGTGTTGATTCCCTTGACATTTCAAATAAAGGAGATCAACAATTTTGAACATCCTGTCCCTCTAGGGGTCATAATAGCTATTTGAAGGAATATATGAAAGGGGAAATACAAAGTTTGGTACTTGATGCTTGAGGACACTTCAGAAAGTATAGGTTGCCTTGTTCTATTCTTCTTGGATGTATTTACAAATTAGAAGCTACCTACCACATTCTGCCCTTTTCCAAATTTTGCCTTACCCTTTTGGAATTTATTTTTAATGAATAAATAACAAAGGTACAAACTAAAAACAGGGACATCATACCACATTTATAAAAAAAGAGCAATGTGGCAGAACTGATTAGGCTACCAGAACTTAAGCTGACAATCACCCACAGATCTATTCTAGCACTTCATTCCATATAATAGTTATGTGGAGGAGGATCCAAAATGAATTCATAGGAGAAATTCAAAGTCTAATGTCCCTTCCCCACTTGACTGCACAGGCATACATCTCCTTAAATAGGCACACTGTTTCATAGTGATTCACAGCATACCCGTGGCAAAGAACCATACTGATAGGAAGATTTACCAAGGCTGTGTTAGTGCAATACATTGAATCAAAAGCTAGCTACCATATTTTAGCTTAGCATACGGGACAAACTCAGTACATGTGATTAATCTAGAGTTCAATGTATTCACAATGCAGGAAAATGAAGTTCCATTAACCTTGGATTTTCATGTCATGTGAGTACAGACAAAGAAGACATTGGAAAGTACAATATGAAGGTTTTATTTCTTAAAGCTCACAAGGGTGTTATGTAGTATGGAAAACATAGAGAAGACATTCTACTTGATGTAGAGAAGAGTGTCCTCAACATGTTTTGTTTTGCTTGTTTATCATTACAATATATGGATGTTTCTTACAAGGTTATTATGAGGATACCTTTATGATTTGTACTCTGTTTAGACTGTCTTTCTTCACCCATAACTGGAACAACATGTTCATAAACCTCAACAGCTGCCAATAAGCAGCCTCTGACTTCCCTTCCACACCCAGCCAGTTTCTATATTCATTCTTTATCTACCACATCTCATTTTCTCCGCAAAGTCTACTACTAACTTCTAGTCTTTCCAATCAGCAACAGTATAACTCCTTAAGACTACTGTACTATAGAAAAGCCTAAGAGCAGTATAATTTTAAGGCTAAGGATTTGTGAGCTAAGGATTAATCTAAGAAATAATGCCCAAATAGAAATCATCTTTCCTTAACATTGCAACCTCTTCATAAGCTACAGTCCAAGCTCCCAGAAGTCAAACCCAAAGAAAGATGGACAAGAACAATGTGGTGCAAATCAGAACACACTGGATGGATGCTGGGCTGGGGGAAACAGTACTCCCTCCATCCCCTTTAGATAGTGCTTGTGTCCAAAGTGTAGTTCATTTACCCAAACTCAGTACTCAATATGATATGAATTGGAAATCAAAACGTTCTGGGAGCAAGAACTGGAGATAATTGGTGTAGAATTTGTTTTCCTCCATTCTATGTCTATATAAACACATTCCATACAGGTACTTATGCACTGCTACTCTTCAAGCAGACTCTACCCAACTTTATGATGCCAGAAGAAAATCTGTTCAGTTGCAATGCAATCTGCAATTACCCAGAAGGTGAATTCAACATACTTTACTTCTGAGTAGATCAAATTCCGGATTGTGCAAGAAAGGTTCGCTGGTCCTCCCAACAGAAAAACCTTACTGTCCTGGGGCCCTCTTTAAATTCCACTTATCTTCAATAGAAAGCAGCTGAAGGAAACAAACAGTAGATCTGCAAGATCTCACCATTTAAAACAACAACAACAACCAAATTATACACCGAATCTCTCTCTAGGCTTTTAAAGTTATATCCTTATTTTAAAAAAAAAAAAAAACTATGAGAAACCTGGAGAAAGAAGCACCAAGAAACCACCTGCACTTAAAAAGAATCTCATGCCGCTCATTCAGGGAGTTCTGAAGCGCCGGGGCGAGAAATATTTCACCACCCCCGAAGCCCAAACCGCAGATCTGCTTTCATTTCCGCCTCTGTCAGGATGGGGGACTAGTTTGGGGCAGCTCTTTCACATCCTGTTTTGTTTATATATATATATATATATATATATAAAGCCCAACAGAACAAAACACCCCCGCGAAACAGGTGAAACGCGGGCGATACAATTCCGAGGGTACAAGAGCGCGCAAAGCCTGCGCGCCGGGCGGCTCCAGGCAATTCAACCTGGCTCGGTCGGCGTCTCCCCAACCAAGCGCCACCTGCTTGGCCGCGCTCCGGTCCAACAGAGAAGCGCTCCTCTGTCGGCAACGCAGCCTTTTCTTGGAAGGACGCCCGCCCGCTTATTTGCAGGAGAAGGTCCCAGCTGCTGGTCTTTCCGGAGACGCTTCAAGATCCCGCGCTCAACAGACAAGCAAAAAGAAAAAAAAAAGCAGAAGGCGAAATCCTAATAAAAGGCTTACCGCCAGCCGGGGTCAGCACGCTGGTCCAGACGGTTGCCAAAGAAGACGACAAGCCCGGGAGCGCTGGGAAAGCTTTGCTTCCTGCCGCGGCTCCTTCTCTTCTACCCGGGAGCCAGGCGCATGCTGCCGGCTCTCTCTCCCCTCTGGTAGCGCGCGGCGGAGTGCGCGCGGCTCTGGCTGCCCCGGACCGACTGCCTGCCTTGCCTGCCTGCTTGTGGGAGCCGAGGGCGGCGGGGCTGGGCGGGGCTTCCAGCCAAGCTCTTTCTGGCCAATGGGAAGAGGCCGAAAGGGAGTTCTGTCACCCTGAACTTGCACGCGGGAGCGCCGAGGCGGCTTTCGGCTTTGGGACTTTGGAAGAAATGCTCTCTAGCCATAGAGAAAAAAGTCAGGGTTGCCCCGAGCGGGTCGGGGGAGATTCAACACCTGTTAAAAGCTAGCCAGTCCCATAACTCAAGATGCCACCAGGGCCTTTCTAAGACACCAAAGGGCCCGCGGGTTAAAAATAATAATAATAATTGATTTGTCTTGCCCCGTTTTATTTCCAACAACACCCTGTGATGGCCCTTGTTTGTCTCCTCCTTGTTTATCGCCCACTGAAGTCAGCGCTCCAGTAAATAGGATGACTGGAATCATCCTTAGATAGTATTTCATTTTATTTTTAAAATGCTTTACGGCTTTAAATGAAAAGCATCCATCTAAGTGTTGAGGATATTTTTTTCCCATATTGGAAACAGGTCAATTTCTCCAGACTAAAACCGGTCTGAATGCAGCCCGTTCACACTTCAGCACATATTATTCCCTGTCAAAAATCTAAACTTTTACAAAGCAAAAGTAAATTACCAGGCATGTATGTTTCCCTTAACAAACTATGATTATTATTTTAATGTTCTCTTCCCAGATGTGGCTTGAAAGCTATTTCCCATGTTCTGATAGTATATCCTGGCCTTTTTTTTACATGCCAACAAATAGTTTTCAATTCATAGTGTGGGAAGTCATCCCCCTCCCAAGAGAAGGAAATATTAAAAGGGCAGATTATATTTCCTCGAAGCATCTTAAAGAGGCAGAAAAGCATGCCCAGTTTTTCTTAATAGCCCCAAGTGTCCCTCCCCCAAACAGAAACCAGCTCTGTAGAAATACAGATGCAAATAATCCATTCAGGAAGGTTGGAGGCCTTCAGCTAGAAGCTTAGGAAGACAAAGACACCTAAAATCTACATACCCCACCCAAACTCTAAGACAGGACATAATAGAATTAACTCACAGATGTCAAAGGGGCACACTCAGAGACTCAGGTCAAAGTATATGACACAGAGGAAATACAAAGCCTCAAACAGGAACAGGAAACAACCTCAAGAGCCCCAGAGGGTATAAAAACCCACTCCCTACATGTGCTCTACTCTTTTCTTCCAGAACCATCTTTCTGTCTGGCTCTCCTCTTCAATAAACTGCAAGCTTCTTTCTAAAGCATGTTGTTTATTCCCAGCTTGGACTGAACCATGATGAAGACTTTTCCTTCAACAATAGCAACCACAAAGGTAGATTTCCCCTATGATGATTTGTCACTAACTTGGTACATCTCTGGCCACTGTAACTAAGTCCATCCACTCTGCTACTGGCCACCTTCTTCTCTTACCTTCCACCTTTCCCAGCATAGAGTCTTCTCCAGGAAGCTAGGCCTTGCCTAATACATATACAACCTAATAATTTGTGCCTGGGCTTTACTCTATTATAATTAATAAACATACATAATTATAATTAGCACAATGTATTATTCCTATATGCTGCTATGAGAGCAATGGCTTCTTCCTGAATAATCACAGCACATAGCACAATGACATGAAATTGATACTTTACCATCATATGCAAGGCACCTGAATTTTCTGTTTGTTGCAAAAGAACTGGCAGAAGACACCTTCCCTTGTTTCTGTTTAATTATTTTAATTTGCCTCTGAAACAAAGTTTCCTTTATTATTGTTTATGCCTCACTTTCACTGCAGATTGAGAAACAAGTGATAACATGACCTAATTATTCCTGGTATGTTTCATATTATCCCTTTCTAGAAATAGTGTAACACATTTGTTCTTAACATCACTGTGAAACATAAACATTTGCAAATATAGGAATAAGGGGCATTTTCCTAAAATTAGTTGCACTAAAATAATATGTTTTTATATTCATTGATTCCCACCAAATTACAGATTGGAATATAGAATGGTTTAGTTACAGTCACATTACGTTTTTCAACTAAGAAAACTGTAACACTGTATTTCAATATTTCAAAAAGCAGGGATGGAATAAATTGTATGCTTTACACACTGACTTTTAACAGTTTTTAAATCATCATTGTGCCAAAATAATAGCAACAAGAACATTTTTTAACCATTTCAATGATGGCTGGATGATCTGATGAAGACAGACAGAAATCAGAAAGCTTAGAGATACTGGCCATATCTACATGATAAGGCTGTCTTGTCAAGAGTCACCAATTGTTTCTGGAGGCCAGAACAGACCTGTGGTCTTTTACTCACCTCTAGCTCTTTGCCAGATTTTTCCTGCTCTGGGTTGAAAGTTCAATACTAGTGTTTTCCGTCTTGTGCTGACTCTAACAGTGTTGTCCAGTTTGCCTAAGGGTAGTCCTCAACTTATAACTGTTTACTTAGTGTTTGCTTGAAGTTACAAAGTCACTGAAAAAAAATGACTTACAACCGGTCCTTTTACTTACAATCATCACAACATCCCCATTGGTCATATGATTAAAATTCTGGCGCTTGGTAACTGGCACCTAAGTATGATGGTTGCAGCAACCCTTGATCAAGTGATTACCATTTGGGAGCTTACCAGCTGGCTTCCAAGAAACAAAGTCAGTGGGGGAGGCTGGATTTGCTTAACAACAATATGATTCATGTGATAACTGCACTTAACCATGGCAACAAAGTTCATAAAATTGGGCACAACTCATTTAACAACCACCTTCCTTAGCAACAGTCCCAATTGTGGTCTGTTGAAGACTGTGTTCTGTGCACTGTGTTCTAATTTGTTTGGAGGCATGAACATCCCCTTACTTCATTTTCCCAGCTATTCCTCAATGACATTTGCTGCAGTTAATGTTTCAAACCTTCCTTGGTGCTTACAATATTTGTTTAGCATGAACAGTATTCCTAGTATTCCCAATGTTCCAACAGGAACATTTTAAGTACTATTTTTCTTTTCCTAGGCTACCTGTTTTTTCACTACTTTTTTTTTTTTTAAAAAAAAAGTCTGATCACTTGTAAACCATTTCATCACTTTTCCAGTCACTTGATCCAGAAAGTTTTGAGAGAAGTAAACAGACTAATTAAAAGTACATTCCTGTCAGATTACAAATCAGAGATATTCTGCAGGTCAAGCATAATAATTACAATATTGAGGAAAAAAAACAATCTGCATCAGACCTTCTTGAGGAAAAGCTAGAAAATGTAAGAATGTTTTATTATTAAGGTTTTTTTATTTCAAAGTTGTTGTGTCTGTATATATGTGCATTTTGATACCATATATATATATATTTATATATATATATATATATATATATATATATATATATATATATATATATATATATATATATAATTATTTGATTTTGTTTACAGTATATATAAAACATTGTTTGGAATGATTCAGCTTTTATGTAAATAATTTCAAATGACTAACAAGTAACCCAACACACAAAATTTATTTGGAAGTAAGAGCCATTTCATTACCTCCTCTTTCCTCCTTCCACCATAACATAATGCTATGCCTTGAGTTATTTGTAAAAATAATAAAGTCGGGATATAAACAGACAAACAAACATAAGTCTTAACAGTATTTCAAACCATGCTTTAAACACAGATTTTGGGTTTTGCTAAAAGTGTCTTTAGAACATGGAACAACCACCATTTCTGGTTAGCTATAATCAAATTTTAAAACCAAGTTTAATGACAACTCCAACTCCAAGAGCCACACAGGACAGGGATGAGTATTTAGCTGTATTGTGTGAATATAATGTCCAAGTAAAATGTTTTAAAGGAAGTAAATGTGCTAGTAGTAGGCACATGGCTTCTACTGTAGTTCAGTTGAATTGTGATGGATGCATAAGTTCATGATCAGCCAATGTTTCAAATGTCACAAAGATTTCTGATCAGATAAATGGATAAATGATATAAATTCCCATAAAGTTTTATAAAATTAAAAGATGGTATTTCTTTAACTTATAGATTAAAGTGCTAAATAAGAATAGCAAAAGTCCAGCTGAGGAAAAAATAGTCATATAATTTAGAAATGATTCACAATATGTACCAAATATATTTTATATAATACTGTGTTCTTGGGCACATTAGCCTGAAATCTATTGAAAACAATGGACCATGCAAGTCAAAACATCTACCTTAAATATGTTAAGATATTGTCACACACCTGCAAGATGCATATTTATTACCAGATATTGCTTCCAATCAATTGAAACTTTTTTCAGCTGTACAAATGGCCTTTTTTTTGTTTAGTGTAATGAGAAGTATTAAATACTGACAAAACATTCAGCTTTTTTTCAAAAAACCTTTCTGTCATATCTATGCTACGAGCTATGTGCCTCTTTGTTATATGTTCATCTTCCCTAGTTATAAATAGATTATTACAATCTATTTTATATCATATTCTCTGTGTCACTTTGTAATTTAAGATTTTATATATATTTTGAACTTCTCATAATGTGCCTGGAAGTTCAGAGTTTAATTATTAAGCACTTGCCTTTTAAGAAAGGTGATTCTGCAGCTATATATGCAGGATAAATGCAATGAAAAAGAGTTTGTTTGTTTTTACCAACGAGGTGATAAATAGTCTGGTCTAGCTGCCATTGCCACTCTTCGCAGCAAGTTCTAATTAGTACTGTTCTTGACAGGTTCTCAAAAATATTGAGCTGGTAGGGACCGATCTTTGTAAGCCTGCTACCATAAAAGCATATTGTAGCTTTTATGTTTGAAGCCATGCTGCAATTTACAATAGTGGAATTGTAAGGAAGAGAAGTGGGCAGCTATATAGGAGCTGTGGTGGTGTAGTGCTTAGAGTGCAATATTGCAGGCTAACTCTGCCCACAGCGAGGAGTTTGATCTTGACAGGCTCAAAGTCAACTCAGTCTTCCATCTTTCCGAGGTCCTCACA